GCCTGGCCATTTTTTGGTTGCAGCCATCATTGTTGTTTGGCGGGCCCGGGCTGGGGATTCGAACTGGCCACCTTAGGTGTATGTGGCTGGCACCTTAGCTGCTTGAGCCACAGGCGCCGAGCCTGAGCCTAAGAGTTTGAGGTTGCTATGAGCTATGATGATACCATGGCATTCTACCCAGGGTGCCAGACTGTCTTGGGAAAGAAAAAAAATCCCAGAAATTAAAATACTTTATATTATATCATTTCATCCTACAAAAAGATAGAAAGCTATAAATTCAGTTTGCTAAGTATATATAATCCTGACAAAGATAACACACACGTTCAAAAGGAAGATAATAGTTGTAGCCAAAAAACATTGAATACTGATTACGTGCCAGGTATTGTTCTAAGAAGTTTATATATGTTTAAAATAAAATTTACATGTATACTTACATGGAAATATAAATATAAATTTAAATATGAAATACATGTATACTTACATATAAGTATACGTGTATTATCACAAATGACACTTTTTTCTCAGTGTGACAATCTAGTTGTCCACCAGTATTCATTCTCCTTTTCCATCTTGCTATCTCATGTTCCTCCAATAGCTAACTCTGAGGTCAGGGTTTATTTAGGAGATGATCCCAGGATTACAATAAAAGAGTGGGAAAGTAAACAGAAATGACAGGAAATCTAGTAAAGTTTGCATTAATAATCTGGCTAACCACTGTGGATAATGGGGGCTCCATTCTGCTGGGGATTCTTTGAGTGACGATGTAGAATGTGCCTTAGAACTGCACCACCAAGATTATTTTTCTCCATTTCTAAATCTCTAATTATGCTGAGGCTTTCTCGAAGAGTATTAGATCTCAGGCAGCGTGTGGACCAAGCATGCAGCAGTGGCCAGAGAATGCCCTCAGGCAGAGATACAAGAAGTGATTGTTGTGTATAGGAACCGGTTTGCAAGTGCCCTTGGGGAGGGCCACAGGGTTGTGGGCTGAGCACCAGCTGAGTCTGCTACAGTAACAAAACCGTGATTTTGTTCAGTGCTTTTAAGTTTAAAATGCTCACTGTTCACTTGATGCTTCCTGATGTTAAACAGAAAATGCTTACTGTTATGAACTAAATTGTGCTCATCCCACCTTGATTTATATGTATATTAAAGTTCTAGAGTTGTGTGTCCCTCAGCCAGGAAGGACACGTTGAGGTTGGCAACCCATCAAGGACAGTAACTACCATGGCTTCCAGTGCTTTGGCCAAACCTCAGATGCGTGGCCTCTTGGCCAGGCGCCTGCGGATTCATATTGTTGGAGCATTTGTTGTATCCCTGGGGGTTGCAGCTTTCTATAAGTTTGCTGTGGCTGAACCAAGAAAGAAGGCATATGCAGATTTCTACAGAAATTATGATTCGATGAAAGATTTTGAGGAGATGAGGAAGGCTGGTGTCTTTCAGAGCGTAAAATAATTTTGAAATATAAAGAATTTCTTTGGGCTGATTTACATAGACGTTTGTCACTGACCTCTGTTCCTGAGCTATGAATATGAGTGATAAATAAACTATTAATAAATTTTTTAAAAGTTCTAACCTCTAACAGATTATATTTGGAGATAGCACCTTTATTTATTATTTTATGTTATTAATTTTTTTATTTTCTTGAGACAGAGTCTGGATAGGGTGCCACGGCATCATCACAGCTCACAGCAACCTCAAACTCCAGGGCTCCAGAGAACCTCTTGCCTCAGCCTCCCGAGTAGCTAAGACTACAGGCACCCACCATGATGCTCAACTAGTTTTTTTCTATTTTCCATGATGCCTGGCTAGTTTTTTCTATTTTTGGTAGAGATGGGGTCTTGCTGCTGCTCAGGCTGGTCTTGAACTTCCGAGTTTAAGGGATCCACCCACCTCAGCCTCCCAGAGTGCTGGGATTACAGGCATGAGCCACCACGCTGGACATGGAGATAGGACCTTTAAGGAGGTAATTAAATGAGATCATAAGGATCCAAATCCAGTAGGACTAGTGTCCTTACAAGAGGAAGGAACACCAGAAATGGGAAGAAGCACCAGAAATCTCTTTCTCCATGAGCAGAGGAAAGGGTACATGAGGATACACAAAGGAGGCAGCTATCTGCAAGGCCAGGAAAGGTACCTGGGCGCCCGTGGCTCAAGCGACTAAAGCACCAGCCATATACATCTGAGCTGGCAGGTTTGAATCCAACCTGGGCCCACCAAACAACAATGATGGCTGCAACCAAAAAATTGCCAGGCATTGTGGTGGGCACCTGAGTCCCAGCTACTTAGGAGGCAGAGGCAGGAGAATCGCTTGAGCCCAGGAGTTGGAGGTTGCTGTGAGCTGTATGCCACAGCACTCTATCCAGGGAGGCAGCTTGAGGCTCTGTCTCCAAAAAAAAAAAAAAAAAAAAAGAATATACTGATGATGCAACAAATACAATTTTTCTTTTTTTGAGACAGACTCTTACTTCGTCGCCCTTGGTAGCATGCTGTGGCGTCTCAGCTCACAGCAATGTCAAACTCTTGGGCTCAAGTGATTCTCTTGCCTCACCTTCCCAAGTAGCTGGGACTACAGGTACCCATCATAATGCCCGGCTATTTTTAGAGATGAGGTCTCACTCTGGCTCAAGCTGATCTCGAACCTGTGAGCTCAGGTAATTCACCCATCTGGGCCTCCCAGAGTGTTGGGATTACAGGAGTGAGCCACCACGACTAGCCTTACAATTTTAAATGTACTATAGTTTTTTTTCCCCTTTGTTGATAGAAATGCTTTTTTATGAAGCTTTTTTTTTTATAGAGACAGAGTCTCACTTTATTGTTCTCGGTAGGGTGCCAGAGCGTCGAGGTGTCACACAGCTCACAGCAACCTCCAACTCCTGGGCGTAGGCAATTCTTTTGCCTCAGCCTCGCCAGTAGGTGGGACTGTAGGCGCCTGCCACAACACCCAGCTATATAAAACTTTATATAAGATTTTTACCGCAATTTGTTTGGGTTTTGTTTGTTTGTTTTGAGACATCTCCAATTTGGAAATGTCAATACTTGACCTCTTTGCCTTTTCTTGTGACAGCGGGGCCTATTCACTGTCCACGGTGAATGTACCTTGCTCTGTAAGACTGTATCTTGCACTTACTCTTTCTTTATCTTTCTCAGGAAACTTTGTTTCATGCTTGTCTTACTTTGGGGTGTCTGGGCATTTTTTGACCATGAGCACTCCAGACACTGAGGACATAGGCAGCTGCCTGAAACCCTGACATTTTAGGAGACAGGCAGCTAGCTGCCTTGAAGCCCAGCAGTTTTGGTGCTGCGTGACTCAGATAAACCTGATTTAAATCAATTCTGCCCGTGCTTCCACCAGAAGGAAAGATGGCTCTGCTCCTACCTTTGGTGGAAGTGATAGGGGAGTTTGGCCCAATCCTGGTCCATAAGCCTTTTATTTTACTATTTATTTTATTTATTTATTTACTTTTTGAGATAGAGTCTCAAGCTGTTGCCCTGAGTAGAGTGGAATGGAGTCATAGCTCTCAGCAACCTCAAACTTCTTGGGCTCAAGTGATTCTCTTGCCTCAGGCTCCCAAGTAGCTGGGACTACAGGAGCCTGCCACAACATCTGGCTATTTTATTTTCTTTTTTCTCTTTCTTTTATTTTCTCTATATGTATACATGTGTTTATTTGGTTTCCACTTTTTGCCTTCACAAAATTAAAAAGGCTTAAAATTTAATAACAATAACAGTGTTTAAGATAAGGACTAGAAACAAAAACCTCGTAAAGAACGAACGAAGATAAATACATTCAGAAAAGAAATCAGACAATTGCTGCAATGAAATATTGAGCAGTAAGAATAATAATGCAAAAAAGTAACATTCACATTGTTAGATAAGAGTATGTCTATCATAGAATGCTTTGACTCTGAGGTTCAGTGTGGAGTCATCAGTTAACTTCTTATTTTTTTTCCAAAGTATCAAAAAATAGACAACTAATATTTATAAATAAAAATAGAAGATAATTTCAAAAAACAGATCATGCCAAATCTTATAGACAACAGAAAAAGAAAAAATACTTCAAATTCATTCTACTTCATCTGGATATACCTGATATTAAAGTCGGAAAAAATATATTATTATAAAAGGAAATTACAAACATATTTCACTTATAAATGAGGATGCAATATCCTAAACAACATATTAACAAGTTGAATAAAAAATTATTGTTCAAATAATGTACTTTGGTCAAAATTAAATCCAACTTATGTGAGAATTAGTAACTATTTTCTTTTCTTTTTTTTTTGTTCTTTTCCTTTCCCTCACCCCCTCCCTCCTTCTCTGTCTGCTCTCTCTTTCTCCCATCCCCACCGTGTCATTAATTGTCATTAAATGTCCTCATATCCGGCTCAGCGCCTATAGCTCAACCGGCTAAGGCACCAGCCACATACACCTAAGGTGGCGGGTTCGAATCCCCAGCCCGGACCCGCCAAACAACAATGACGGCTGCAACCAAAAAATAGCCGGGCGTTGTGGCGGGCGCCTGTGGTCCCAGCTACTTGGGAGGCTGAGGCAGGAGACTCGCTTGAGCCCAGGAGTTGGAGGTTGCTGTGAGCTATAATGCCACGGCACTCTGCCCAGGGGGGGCAGCTTGAAGCTCTGTCTCAAAAAAAAAAAAATGTCCTCATATCCAAGTTGAATACATAGGATTCATGCTTCTCCATTCCTGTGATGCTTTACTAAGAATAATATGTTCCACTTCCACCCAGGTTAATACAAATGCTGCAAAATCTCCATTTTTTTTAATGGCTGGATAGTATTCCATGGTATACATATACCACAGCTTGCCAATTCATTCCTGGGTTGAGGGGCATTTAGGCTGTTTCCACATTTTGGCGATTGTAAATTGAGTTGCGATACACAGTCTAGTACAAGTGAGTGTCTTTATAATAAAGATAATATTAATATATAGTAAATAATAATAAATATAATAAAAGGTTTTTTTTTCCTTCTGGATAGATGCCCAGTAATGGGATTGCAGGATCCAATGGGAGGTCTAGTTTGAGTTCTTTGAGGTTTCTCCATGCTTCCTTCCAAAAAGGTTGTATTAGTTAGTCCCACTCAGTGTAAAAGTGTTCCTTTCTCTCCACATCTGCACCAGCATCTGCAGTTTTGAGATTTTGTGATATAGGCTATTCTTGCTGGGGTTAGATGATATCTCAGGGTGGTTTTAATTTGCATTTCTCTAATAATTAGGGATGATGAACATTTTTTCATATGTTTTCTAGCCATCTGTCTTTAGAGAAGGTTCTGTTCATCTCTCTTCTCCATTGATGTATGGGATTGTTGGTTTTCTTCTCGTGGATTAATTTAAGTTCTGTATAGATCCTAGTTATTAAGCTTTTGTCTGATTCAAAATATGCAAATATCTTCTCCCATTGGGTAGGTTGTCTATTTGCTTTGGTTGTTGTCTCCTTAGCTGTACAGAAGCTTTTCAGTTTAATTGAATCCCATTTGTTTAATCCATAAATGTTATTCACCATATCAATGGAAACAAAAATAAAGCCCATATGATCCTCTCAATAGATGCAGAAAAAACATTTGATAAAATCCAGCATCCTTTTCTAATTAGAACACTGAAGAGTATAGGTATAGGTAACACATTTCTTTTTTTTTTTTTTTTTTTTTGAGACAGAGCCTCAAGCTGTCCCCCTGGGTAGAGGGCCGTGGCATTATAGCTCACAGCAACCTCCAACTCCTGGGCTGAAGCGAGTCTCCTGCCTCTGCCTCCCAAGTAGCTGGGACCACAGGCGCCCGCCACAACGCCCGGCTATTTTTTGGTTGCAGCCGTCATTGTTGTTTGGCGGGTCCGGGCTGGGGATTCGAACCCGCCACCTTAGGTGTACGTGGCTGGCGCCTTAGCCGGTTGAGCTATAGGTGCCGAGCCAACACATTTCTTAAACATAGATAGATTGACGCTATCTATGATAAGCCCACAGCTAATATTTTACTGAATGGAGTAAAACTGAAAGTTTTTCAATTTAGAACTAGAACCAGACAAGGTTGTCCTCTGTTGCCATTACTATTCAACATAGCGCTGGAAGTTCTAGCCAATATAATTAGGCAAGACAAGAAAATAAAGGGCATCCAAATGGGAGCAGAGGAGGTCAAACCCTCCCTCTTTGCTGACAATACGATCTTATACTTAGAGAACTCCAAAGACTCAACCACAAGACTCCTGGAAGTCATCAAAAAATACAGTAATGTCTCAGGATATAAAATCAATGTCCACAAATCTAGTTGCCTTTGTCTATGCCAACAACAGCCAAGATGAGAGGCTAACTAAGGACACAACTCCCTTTACCATAGCCCCAAAGAAAATGAAATACTTAGGAATATACCTAATAAAAAAGAGGTGAAGTACCTCTAAAAAGAAAATTATGAAACCCTAAGAAAAGAAATAGCAGAGGACTTTAACAAATGGAAAAACATACCATGCTTATGGCTGGGAAGAATCAACATTGTTAAAATGTCTATACTTCCCAAAGCAATCTATCGATTCAATGCCA